GGAAGAAGTTCCACTCTTGACTGTCCAGGTCTGGATTTTCTTTCCTTTTCTCATGTCTTCTCTCCTTCTTTCCATCTTTCCCGAAATGCGTGTTGGGCGATCAAATCCAAGAGTGATGGCAACTCGGATAGATTGTTTCTCATCAATTCCAGGCCACACTCGGGGTTTGATCGCTCAATTTCTCAAAATTCCCAGTCATGGCATCTTCTATAGCTGGCAATTCGCCAAAAATTCGATCGACTCGTCCAGCGATGTCGATTTGGGCCGTCGATCGAGACACTCCAATCCAATCGAGGCTAAAACCCGTGAGAATCTCTCTCGCAGGTAACGCGATTCCGCTGTGGAGGATTCATCCTGGGCTTCTTCATCAGCCACGTCGTCATGGACGGCATCTCCATCAGCGATTTCCTCCACGATTTCGCGACGATCACGCGAGGGGAGGCCGTGGAGCTCGCACCGCGCGACCCGGATCGCTCGTGCTTCCGCCACCGATCGCCGCCACTCGTGACACGCGACCACCCGGAGCTTGCGGCCCTCCCGGCCACTCCCGCCAAGCTCCTCTTCAACCCCTCCTCCTGGTACGACGCCACCGCGCCACTGCCCATCGCGTTCAAGACCTTCTCCTTCACCGCGCGCGACCTCGCGGCGCTCAAATCGCGCGCGCTGGCGGATGGATCGCTCAACAGCTGCTCCACATTCCAGGCGCTCACCGCGCACGTCTGGCGCGCGCGTACCGCCGCCATGGGCCTCGACCCCGCCGCCATCTCCAAGCTCTTCGTGGTGATCAGCATCCGCGACAAGCTCAAAGCCCCGCCGCATTTCCCCGAGAGATTCCTGGGCAATGGCGTCATCGCGGCGCCGTGCGTGAACACCACCGCCGCCGAGCTCCGCGAGAACTCGCTCACCTTCGCGGTGCGCAGAATCCAGGAAACCATCGCCAGCGTGGACGAGGGGTACATCCGCTCGGAGCTCGATTGGTGCCACGTCAAGGGCCACGGCATCATCGACCTGCCAGGTGGCATGATCATCACCACGTGGTCGAGGCTCGGGTTTGACGCCGTTGACTTTGGCTGCGGGCGGCCTGCCTACGTGGCGGCCCCGGTCAACGACCGTCGGGAGTACGTGCTGGTGCTGTCTAGCTGCAAGAACGATGGCGGCGTTAACTTGTTTATGGGGATGGATTTTGATAAGATGGCCAAGCTGGAGGCTTTGCTCAAGGTATGAAAGAGTGTATATGTAAGAAATTCCTGGTTTTCTTCTGGAATAATTTTGCTGGTACCAATCTGTCAACTAGTTTTCTGATAGATTTGTATACGTAAGAAAATTCCTAGTTTTCTTATGGAATAATTTTTGTTTTGTAGAAAGCTGACTTAGTCTTATAACAAAATTTCTTCTAAATCCAGACTTAAGAAAGAACGGGAAGTTCACGCAATGCGGTTGTTGCCTGGTTAAACATCAGAGCATAAAATCTTGTGTCGCTGAGCGAGTGGGAGACTCCGACACGAAACTATTCCTTTTTTTATAGAATTTTTTTTTTGTTTTAAAAGAAGAAGCTTGCTCACCAGTCTTTGTTGTTATTTTTATACTGGGCCATTCAATCCCATATGATGATGCAAAGAAAGAGAACAAAATCAACTACCCTTCCAGAAGTACAGGATGATAAGATACTCAATATATTCATGGTTCTTAAATTATATTAATCTGATAAATACTTCTAAAATTTAATGTAATTTTTTTCTAAAACTTTGTTTCATGTTTTTCAATTAATCTTTCAGTTGCTACCCGTCATGATCCATTAAAAGAATTCAGCTGCAACTTAGTTTGCGTGTTTGGACTTTCAGTAACCATTAGAAAATTGAGGTTTTGTGCAATTTGGACCACATCCACTATTTCATTTTACATGATTTAAGCATGGCATTCTGCTTCTGTGATACCTTTGCGGGCAGAACTCTACACAAGAAACTTTACAGGAAGAGCTTTATATTTGACAAGGTTAATGTTTTCCAATGTTTTCCATTCCAAGGTCCTCTCAGGGCAGCTGTAGGAAGACAAGGAAATGGGTGCTTTATTTCAACAATGTCATCCAGCAAGTGTTCTTCCATGTTGATTTGCTTACTATGCATCCAGCCAAAGAATTGCGGTGGAAATCTTTTATCTTATATCAACGAGGAAGAATCGTGGTTGGAGGCGCCTCCTCCGTCAAGTTCTCCAATTGCGGCTGGAAGCTCAGACCAATTCTATCTCAAAAGATCATAATATCATTGGAAAAAGTTCCACTCTTGACAGCTTTTGAAGGTTAGGCCAGGCTCCAATGAGTAGCTGTTGGATATATCCAGTTTAAGATTGACTCGCATGAACATCAAGATTTCATATGATTGTGTGCTACAATATATTTGATCAGACCAATAATTAAACGTATGTAAACTAAGTTTCTAGACAACAAAATTTTCATCTTGGAGCTCTTGCCGCGAGCTTCTTCCTCTCCTTTGTAGCAATCCAATTCTCCGGAGCTCCAACCGAGTAGCAAAGATTGCTGAGAAGAACATAGCCAGCTCCATCGCCTCCACCCAAGTCCAGCACGGAGCTCGCAACCCGGCCACCCTGCTCGATACCGCCATAGCCATTCCCGCAAGCTCCAAGCAGGCACCTCCACTGGAGCGCGCTCGAGCCCAGCGGCATCTCCACCACCAGCGCCTCCGCGTCGTCCAAGTGCCCCGCCCGAGCCAAGAGATCCACCATGCAGCAGTAGTGCTGCCTCGTCGGCCGCTCGCCAAAGTCGACGAGCAGCGATCCAAACCATCTCCTCCCGTCCGAAAGCTTCCCGGCTCGGCTACACGCGACGAGCACCGCCACGAAGCACGCCCCGTGATGCATGTCCGTGAGCTTCATCGCGTTGAAGAGCTCGACGATGCCGCTGGTGTGTCCTCGGTTCTGGGTGTAGGCCGCCAGGATCGCGCACCACGAAGCGAGGTCTCTCTCGGGCATGCGATCGAACTGCTGCCTGGCGAGCCGGAGATGGCCGTTTTGCGCGTAGGCCGAGAGCATGCCGTTGAACGAAACCAGGCTCCGCTCGGGCATGTCGCTGAAAGCCTGCTTCGCCTCGAGGAGCTGTCCGTTTCGAGCGTAGGCCGCCAGCATCGCGTTCCAGGCGACCAAGTCTCGCTGCGGCATCGACAGGAACGTGAACTTGGCCTCCTCGACCCGGCCGTTGTGAGCAAACGCCGCCAGCATCGACGTCCACGAGACTTGGTTGTGCTCCGGCATCGATGAGAAGCAGCCCCTCGACTTCTCGATGAATCCGGCCTGGGCGAACGCTGTGAGCATCGTGTTCCTCGACACCAAGTTGTGCTGCGGCATCCCCCGGAAGAACACCTCCGCCTCGCGAAGACCACCTTCGATCTGGACGTAGCCGCCGAGCATGATGTTCCAGGATATCAAGTCTCGAAACGGCATCGAGTCGAAGTGTAGCGTTGCTCGATCCATGAGTCCGACCTGTGCGTACCCCGCTAGAATGACGTTCCAGGCGATCACGTTTCGCTGTGGCATGCCGTCAAACACCCTCCTGGCCTCCTCCAAATGCCCCCCTTCGACGTAACAAGCCAGCATCGTCGTCCACGAGAACAAGTCCCTCTCGGGCATCCCCCAAAACACAAACTTTGCATCGTCGAGGCGTCCGTTTTGAGTATACGCCGCAAGCATCGTGTTCCAAGAGACCAGGTCCCTCTGCGGCATGTAGTCGAACGTAGCCTTGGCACTGTCCAGGCTCCCCAGCTGAGCATACGCCGAAAGCATCGCTGTCCAGCAGACTGTGTCACTCTCGGGCATAGCCTCCATGACGAGCTTTGCCTCGTCTATATACCCAAACCGGGCATAAGCGTGATGGATAGTCGTCCAGGAGATCAAGTCGTGCAGTGGCATCCTGTGAAACAAGTCCCCGGCCTCTTCCAGCTTCCCAGCCTCCACAAAAGCGTCGAGCAGAGTGTTCCACGACACCAGGTTGGTGCTGGGCATTTCCTGGAACAGCAGCGTAGCGTCTTCCAGGCACCCATTCTGGGCATATACAGCCAGCATCGCGTTCCAGGCGACTTCATCTCTCTCGGGCATCTGGTCGAAGAGGAGCTTGGCCTGGTGGAAGTCTTCGCTGGAAGAGAATGCCACCAGCAGGCTCGTCCAGGAGATGAGATTCTTGCTGGGCATCTCATCGAAGATCTGCTTGGCTTGCTCGAGGTTGCCGGTCCGAGTGTACGCCAGCAGCATCGTGTCCCAGGAGAAGGAGTCCCTGGCGAGCATCGCGTCGAAGATGGTGCGTGCCTCGCGTGAGCTCCGGCAGCGGCCATACATCTCGATGAGCTTGTTGCAGAGGAAGACATCGTCGAGGAAGATCTTGTCGACGATCTGTACGTGGACTGCCTTTGCGGTGGCGATCGTCTTGACGGAGCTGATAAGCTCAAGACATTCGGCCCTGCTCTTCCTCATCGCATCTCGCGCTAGCGTTTGACGCGTTCCAAGGCGCTTTGGATCTCCTCGCAGTCGCGTTCCATGATCTTTATCCAGTTCTCAAAATCACCAATCTCCTAGAGAAACAAAAGAAGAGGAGGAGAAAGCGAACAAGAGTTACAAAGATCCACAAGGAGAGAGCTTGCCTTCAATGCCGTGTCGAAACTATGGAAGAGGCTCATCCACTGGTTGCTCTGCTTGACCGCTCGCTGAACCGTCATGGCCACCGCGCGAGTCTCGCTCTCGATCCTCTTCTCGTTCGCAAACACCTCCTGGACCCCGGCATTGAGGCCGCGCTCCAGAAGTTTCGATACCTGTGCGGCCGATGCAAGGGCTTCTTTCCGATCCCTGTCTGTGAAGCCCGCATTGAGCCGATTTCCAGCCAAGAATCCAAAATCTCACCTATGCGCTGCCGGATCGCTGCCGATCGCTGTGCACGATCGCGCATTAGCTCCAAGAACGCGGCATCCAGCCCCCCCGCGGCCATCTAGAATGAAGAACCCTAAAGTAATGACGATCAGCCCTAAATGTTTTAAAGGTAATAAAAAAATTTGTGGCTGAGAATTGTGAAAAACTTTGGGCCACATATTGATTTGACCATCAACGGTCCATAAGAAAGATTTTGTGTCAATCTTTTCCACCGCTCCAGTGCGGCCACGTTGTCTGCCACCTGGCATTTCTGCCACGTTGTCCAATCGGACGGCGGATGCCATCCTGCTATTCAATGTGGTTTTGGGACTCTTGCATTTGTGTGTCTGGACCTCTAGAGTCTCCAAAGGGATAGGGATACAGAAAGAAAGCGCAGGGAGAGAGGGCTAGGGTGGATCGATTCTTTTCTTGCCGATCTGTGGATTGTAGCTCGGGATTGATGCTGTGAGGTGGTTTATCGATCGAGCTGCGCGCGATTTTGTTCTAGGGAGCAGCCATATGAATGCTGAAATGGTAGGGTTGATGGCGAATCCAGCGCTTCCATCCGATGATGCGGTGTCCAAGAAGATCCGGAAGCCCTACACCATCACGAAATCCAGGGAGAGCTGGACGGAGCAAGAGCACGACAAGTTTCTCGAGGCCTTGCAGCTGTAAGAGATCTTTTCCCCGCGAGGTATTGATTCTAAGTCCAATCTCTCCAGGTTTGATCGGGATTGGAAGAAGATTGAGGCGTTCGTTGGCTCGAAAACAGTGATTCAGGTGAAATTCCTTTGCTTTATTCATGTTCTTCGCGGGGATTTAGTTCGTTAGTGTGTGACAATTTCCAGATTAGAAGTCATGCCCAGAAGTATTTTTTGAAAGTCCAGAAGAATGGAACTGGAGAACACGTTCCTCCTCCACGGCCGAAACGTAAATCTGCTCAACCATATCCTCAAAAAGCTGCGAAACCAGGTAAGCTGCCGATACCAAATTGCGAGTTTCATAGCGTTTTTCTTTGCTCGACAGCTCCCCCACAGCGAGGAACTCCACATCCTCCACCACCGGATTTTGGTTACATGGTTCCACAATGCAATATGTTTGTTCCAGGAGTGACTGCCAGTCCGGTTTCTTCCTGGGTTCATCATGGAGGGCCTCAAGGAACCATTCCTTTCAGCTACAAAGGTGGAAGTTTTGTGATTTTTAGAATGATTGTTTTGTTTTTCTCTGTTTGTTCTCACCGTGTTGATGACCTTCCAGATCCCCATCAACCGGAGCTGGCAACCCCCGCGAATATCAAGAACCAAAACAATAGCAGCACTGCAAATACTTGGGCTCATGATCCTCCGGCACAAGCAAATCCGCAGAGAGGTCGGAAAACTGGAGAAAAAGTGGATAGAGCTAATGGTATTGTGACTTTGTCAGCTGCTCCTGCGTTCTCCGAGGTTTACAAATTCATTGGAAGCATATTTGATCCTGGCACGGCTGGGCATCTCAAGAAGCTACGGGAGATGGCTCCGATAGACCGAGAAACTGTGAGTGTTTGTTTTGCTGTTGGCATTTCTTGCTGATATGATTCGTGTTCCAGGTTTTGTTGTTGATGCGGAACCTGGCAATCAACCTGTCAAGTCCGGACTTCGATCAACGGGTAAAGTTTGCGGACAAAGTTTTTTTTCGTTCTTTTCAACGTTTTTGTTTTTCTGGTTTGTCTCGCGACAGAAGCTGTTCGTTTCAGTCTACGAAACGAAGGAAAACGGAATGGATTTTGACGACTTCCAACAAGGTGGTGATGAAGAAACAGCAAGAAACGTGGAGAAAAGTTCGCAAGACGCACTAGCAACAGCGCCACCACTTTTCCCTGGCTCCCAACCGGAAGCTAGCATCCCACAAGCTGTAGCAGATGTTTCCAAGCACCAAAGGCATCCTTATGATGGTGGTGGAGGTTTAGAAGATGACAGGAATGGATTGGATCCTCTGTACAATATCGCAGAAGCTCTGGAAGACTTCGATCCTGTGGACCAAGTAGAGAAGATCGATCCAGAGAGCATTATCAGCGACGGAGAAACTCTGAAGATGGCAGCGGCAGCAGCAGCAGCATCTAGAGACGACGATGATCAAAGTGTAGAGGGATGGTGGCCGTAGCAAACCAGCAAACTTGGGCGATCGATCGAGCTCGCGCCGGCTTCGTTTCATCGTCCAGGCCTTTTTGTGAATAGCTCCCAGTAAGTTTCTTCGCGTTCTTCCGTTCGTTTTCTCACTCTCTTTTCTTCTCTGTTCCTTGTCACAGGGTGTTTATAACTTCGCGGTATTTCTTGTGGTGTGATCAAAGCTTCCAAGGGATCTATGTATGTTAACTGGGAGCGTCCCTTTGGAGTAAGGAAAGCATTGGCTAGGATTGTGTACACGCGTCGCGAGTGAAAGTTGACACGCGGTGCGCTCCCATTGGCCGCTATTGTGTACCTTCCTACACAGGGCCACGCCCCTTCTTTTTCCTATAAAGCCTTCCTTGCTCGTGCTACATTGAGGGCATATCCTTTTTTCTAGCGCATTATCGCCCTAGGGTACTGGCGGAGGATCGAGGGATGGCGTTGGTGGAGTGGAGTCGCGGTCGTGGTATGTCATGGCTTGGATGATTGTGGCAGAGCTGAGCTCGTAGCTGGGAGCAAAGATTTCGGAGATTTCGGAGATTTCTAGCTCAATCGGCTTCTAGGGCAAGGGGAGCAGCTGGAAGGAGCTGGAGAGCCTTGGAATTACATGAGAAGTGGAGCCGATAGGAGGGAAATCTGGAAGTTTGGGCGACGAGGTAGCGGCAGCTTGGATGAAAAGGGAGATAGCAGGCTGGAAGGCGGAGGGGGCGACTTTTGACAAGAAAGAAAGGCGAGACTGGGGATGGTATAGAACCAAGCTCAAGAGAAATGCCGGACGAATGGAGTGGTGACTCGTGAGACGCTCATTGCAATGACTCGAGTTGTGGTTCCGAGAGGTAATCCAGCGCCTGGTTCGTCCCAGCCACCGAGAAATGTTGCTACTTCCACTCCTGGGACTTCGTCGTCAGTACCACCGCCACCTCCTCCTTTGCCGCCATCGTCGACTCTCATTTCTCCTTCCGGCCAGGAGGCCGCGGAGAACAAAGCTGAGGGAACTTCGAGTTTCCTGGATGGAGAAAGCATCGAAAAAGCCTCACAGCTGGGAAGTCGGTTTGCCGGCCTTTGCATTTCTTCCGAAGAGTCGAGGAGCGCTGGAAAAGCTCCCGGCTCGGACCAGGAGAATGCAAAAGACTTTGCTGCTCAGGTGACAGAGGCAGTGCAAAGTCCGAGCGTTCCGGCAGCAGCTTCCGAGTGTGGTAACCAAGAACCGCCTAGATCTAACGCAGGAACTTCGTCATCAACTAGAGTTGGAACAGGCTCAAGGCGTGCCACAGTTCCAAGGCCAGGTTTTGCTGCTCAGCGAGTCAGGATCTCGCCAACGAGCTCGCATTCCACGTCTCCTAGAGCACACGCGGGGGAGGGCGATGGATACAACAGTGCTGACGAATCCAGTTCCTGGTCTGCAACGCCTGGATTTGAGGAAGATGTACGTGGATGGTAATCCGCTTGTGCGGCTCCGAGAGCTTCAGTGACAAATATGTTCGTTTCTTGTTTCTTTTTTCCAGGAGGACAAGGAAAGCCATTTCGAGATCGAGCTCCGGCGGGTGAAAGGTTTCGAAGTGAGGAGAATGGTTCCTGATGGCAACTGTTTGTTCCGTGCTGTGGCTGATCAAGTCTATGGCGATCCAGAAATGTTTGGCGAGACAAGGCAGATGTGTATAGATTACATGGTAATGATTCTGAGTGTGATGCTTTTAGGGATCAACTCACGTTGCTATTTTTCTGTTACAGGAAAGAGAAAGAGATCATTTTTCACAGTTCATTACAGAAGGCTTTACTACGTACTGCAAAAGAAAACGCAGAGATAAGGTTATCGCTTTTCTTTTGCTGTCTTACTTGACTGATGAATGCTGGTACTGCCTTGAAGGTTTATGGCAACAACCTCGAGATACAGGCAATGGCTGAAATGTACAACCGGCCAATTCACATCTATTCGTACAGCACAGGTATGGGGTCCCATGTTTGTCGGTTTGTTTTCCTGAATTTTCTGCGATGTCGCAGATCCTATAAACATATTTCATGGACAGTATGAAACTGACTTGCCGCCAATCCGGCTAAGCTATCACCGTCGAAATCACTACAATTCGCTTCACGATCCATCACGGCCTGCTGTTGGAGCCGGACTTGGTTTTGGAAGCCTGCGTGGTGTAAGCGTTTTTTTTTCTTGTTTACTTTCGTTTTGTTTCACTGGCTCGGATCTAATACTTTTCGCTTATAGAACAATGTTGACAGAGATCAGGTGAAGGCTGCTATCCGCGCACAACAGGACCAACAGATTGAAAACGTACGTGATGTTCTACTTCGTCTTGTGATCCAACAGCTGCCTATCTTGTACAGGCTCTTTTGGCCGAAGGCCGGTTCTACTCCGACTTGGAACTGACCGAGCAAGAGATCGAAAGGATGGTGATGGAGGCGTCTCGAGCGGAGTACCTCGCCGAGGAGCACCACCGGCAAATCACGCACTCGTCCGAGGAGACGTCCTCTTCGGCCGCGGGAGGACCATCATCATCTGGAGGTAAGGAGCTACTTCCAAATCATAAAAACCTCTCACTTGCGCTTGCTTGCGTGCTTGCTTCCCAGCGTCGAGGGGATCTGGAAGCGCTGGCGGTTCTCACGTTGGTGGATCAGTAAGTCTCACAGACTCTGCCGCGATAAACAGGAGTAGCAACGTCCGCGTCCTCCTGTCCATGGGATTTAGCTACTTCCGGGTGATGGAGGCGTGTAGCATCTTCGGGGACGACGTGAACAACATGCTGTGCTACTTGCTGGAGACGGAGGCTCTCAAGGGGGAGAGCATGTATAGGATGAAAGGGAAGGCCGCCGAGAAGTAGTATCTAGTGCCATGGCCGGGACTTTAGCATGGAACTTAGCATTCGAGGTTGAAAGCTCTTCTCAGGATTTGTGGGAATGTTTGGCAGGAAGACGATGAAGACTGTGGCAGTAAGAGACGCTGTGATTGCGCAAGAGAAGTAGAAAAAGGAGAAAGGACCTTTGATCAATAAAAGCTCAAACTTTTAAGATGGTTTTACCAGTTCGTAGTAGTAGCTCCTTGCTCATTGTCATCGAATCTAGAAAACTCACGAGAGCTTTAAGCTTTTAATCGTGAATCCTCGAATCTAGAAGAGCTTTAAGTTTTTAATTGTTGTCGAAGCTTAATCGTTGTCTAAGCAACGAGGGCACTTACAGTGGAAACCATAGGCGTCCTGAAGAAGTGCTCTGCGAGCTTCACACCCCATGCTTGCATCAATGTAAGTTATACACAGCTCCTTGCCTGGTGAAAAAATACAAAAAAAGGATTAGGCACCAGCATTTACTTTGAGCTCTACCTGGTTCGATCGGTTGTAAGGCTTTCAGTTGTACAAACGCATTTTCTCGCCAGTAAATGTTCACGTTAGCATCTAATGATCCGAAGGAAAACAAATATGTAAGTGATAAAGTCGAGCAAAGATGAGCAAACGAATGAAAGGATTTACCGCAGCTATGGTTGAACATGGAGGGAAGAATGTAGACGGCGGAGCCAACAACATCGTCGCCTGTGATGGAGTCGACAAGAGCTGCTTCAAGGTTTGTGATCTCCGTGGCGATAGTCTCCACTCGGAATGTGTTGAGGTGTATTCTGGAGAGCGCGCCGGCGTACCAAGAATCGCTCAAAACTTCGAGCCTGTCGAAAGAAAAACGAACTCTTTTGCTTGGAAAGAAACGAAGAAAAAGGATACACTTCGTTGAAGCCGAGTCTATACCGCAACGAGTTAGAGTTTCTGTCAAAAGCTTGCGCTCCTCGAGCCACTGCAACGAAAAAACCACGCTTACAACCATAAGATCGTAATTTACGTAGGAACTTACTCTTTGGAGAAATCCAGGAGGACTTGGCGGATAGAGAATGTCGAGAACATCAAAAGAGGCCATGTTTGTGGCTACCATGCATGCCAATCGCTTCACCAAGAGTGGAAACCTCAAGTTACTTTCCCTGGCATCAAGCACACACACACACACACACACACAAAAAAAACTTTAGCCAGAAAAGAGAAGAACAGAAGCGAGCAATTTGGATACCTACAGTAATCGTGAAACTCTTTCCAGTGACGATTGTTCTCCAGATCCATACACCCCTGGAAGAGAAACATCAAAACAAGTACAGGGACACAAGATATGAGAAAAAAAACTTAAAAGAGAAGAAAATGAAAAAACCTTGGCAAGATCAGTGCATTCTTGACTGCAGTAGGCCATCCAGGAGCTCTCGAGTTGGAGAAATGGTTTTGTGATCAAGCTAAAACGTTTAAGGCACCACCAGCAAACCTGGAAGAAAAAACAGCTTTCACAACAAGAAGAAAAAAAGCACCGCAAGAACCTTTCCCATGTTTGTGGGCGAGGGATGCGAAATCACTGGAAATTCCGTGAGAATAACATCCCCAGCGCCGATCTTGCGACTGGCAAACACACCCCTGCCCGCAGTCTCAGTGAGCTTCACCTGAATCGGCGGAGCAATGCCCGCCGCTACGCATAGATTTGGAGAGCTTGGTTAGAGAAGAAGAGCTCGCAACGCGCTCACCTCGAGCGGCGGAAGAACACCAGCGTCGCCCCAATGTTCTCCCAGCCATAAACCCTAAAATTACTTTTCTTTCGCCAAGCAAAACTTTTCTTTTGCAACACAAAACTTCTTCCACTTAGTATATCATTATATCTCGTTCATCAGCTTCTTCAGATCTGACGAGCATTAAACAAAGGTTCCAGGCCTTTTATTTTAAACGTCCTATTTAAAAATCTAAGTCATGTTAGATTCAGCGGCGAACAACTCGGCCACGAGAAAACGGATAAGAGAAATCTCGGCCTCGTCATTAGCGGGTACTTAATAACATCCTCCATGTTTTTCACAGCTTTGGTGTTGATTTTCCTCGCCAGTTATTTGCGAATGAGCCACCACTGTTCCTTGGATGAGGGAGTGTCGGACTCCCAGTCGAAGGTCACAGGTACTGGAAGTTTCATCGCCGCCAGAAGAAGTGAGGTCCCTTGCGAAGCTCTAACCTTGAAATCATTTTGGCTTCTGAGTTAAGGAGCTAGCAAAGAAAGAGAAACTTGAAAATCAAAGCCTGCTGATTTAGATGAAGACTCCATGTTTTGTTCTTGTAATATAAAAGTGCCGTATCCTCGAAAACAATAAAGTGTCTTTGAAGGAAGGACTCGCTATCCCATGTTCTGTCAATTATCCAACTTATCACATCTTAATTTTAAGCTTTAACAGTTTATCTCTATATTAAATTTTTCTGATCAAAATTATCAATAAACCATATTCTTTCAAGATTCTTAGCAAGCTTCTTAATTTGTAAATCTAAGCTCCAACTTTGAAGGCTGCGGCACCCTGCTCATGCATTTTTTACTTGCAAAACAATACACTAAAAGGTTACGTTCCAAAAGAAAGGCAGGAAAAAAAATTTACCCTCCACCCTTGAAGTGCAATGAAGAAGGGCAGGGGTTAAAAAGATTTTTATTATGTCATAAAAAGATAAAAGGGCAAAAGGGTAAGTGTGAGAGCAATAGAAGACATTGTAAACAATAGGAAGGCCAAAAAAGGACACAAAGTAATCACATTTATCCAGGTTTTTTACTATTACAACTAGCTCTCATTCTATAGGTAGTGAGCACAGGAATCAAGAAGGAGAGGGACAACAACAGTTGTGTGTGGAGAATCAGTCAGTCCCCCTCAAAAAAAAAACAAAGAGGAGATTCAATGAGCATTAGAAAGTGAAAACAAGATGCACAACCCTCAAAGCCAGTGAAGCAATCTATACATTCAAAGAGACCACACCCAGTACTTCTGAGCAAAAAGACATGAACAGAGTCAGCTACTCTTGGCACCACCGAGAGATCTCACATTAGTTAATTTTCTTTCTTTGGTTAGAAACGAAATGATGAAATATAGATATTGCATTGATGCTAAAATGGATAATGTGTTTACAAAAGAGGGCTGTAAAACTCTTCAAACGCTAGCTTTGAGGATTCATGTGGATTCTGAAGATCACTTGCAAGTAGTTGTTGAGAGCTTGAAGCCCACAAAGCATGGTCAAACACTTACAGGTAATTAATGCTAAAGAATAGAAAAGGGTGATAGCAATTATTAAGATTGATTTTCATGTGTCAATGGTTATTTGAGTTACACTAATGTAAAGGCTGGTAAAGGATTCCTTCAAGCTACTCACAAAGATTACTATGAGAAGTTGAGTTGAACTAGTTTCAAGCAAACAAGTCTATTGATAATAGGTTGAAACATCATTTGATTTTCTATGTTAAATTTTTTTCAAGCGGTAGAGAGATAAGAATTAACTACTTCAAGCTAGTATCAACAAAAATTGGCAAACCTAGATGTAGTGTTTACTTGGATAAATGATATAAGTCTTTCTCTTGAGAAGTTGATTGGTATTGCCACAGATGGTTGAAATGCCATGCAAGGAGCACAATCTAGTTTAGTCACATAATTTAAGGAGTGTGTATAGCACTTGATCACAGTGATTCATTCTGCTTTTAAAAGTAAACATAATTTATTATTGTAGCAACACTTTGTTTTCTTGGTTATTTTTATTTATTTTTACTAATGTCACTTTATTATGATAAATCCGATATACTATATCTCAAAGTCTTTTTAATTTTTTTTATATTCAAAAAAATTGTTTATATAGCTCCAACTTTTCAAATTTGAACTTTGCATCAACATTAACCTCAATGTAAAGTTTATAAAAAACTTTTACTTTTTCAATGTAAGAGATATAAATCACCTAATATACATTATGTTTGATTAAGTTGCCATTGGTCTTCTTTAGTAGAGAGAGCTAAAAGTGACAAGCTAAAAGAACATGAGCATATCTAAAGTTCTCAACTTCAAATTCACTTGTTCATTGTTGTTATATTATTTTACCTCTTAAAACCCCACTTGCATTCTATTATACTTATAAGAATTACCATTATGGCAGCCCACACTTTCAAGAACTCACTATAATACTCAAGGTAGAATCTGAGAGAATAAAAGCATTCATCATTTTAGATTCTAGAAAAAATATAAGTAATTAAAACTTCCTTATTTGATAATAATTCCAAAAGTCATTCATGGTTTTTCATCCAAAGTCTTTACTCCAAAGTTCAATGCTTGATATTTAAAACTGTCCATATTAGTAAGTAGCTCTTTGAACTGCTCAACTAGGATGGAAGCCTAAGACTTCACAACAACTACTACATCCTCTAATTTATCAAGATAAAGAGTGGTGTTAAGTAGCTTCCATCATACCTCCATACTCTAGAAACCTTTCCTCCAAACAATTAATGACTTTTCCTAGCAATCTTATATAGTGATCTATGGTCTCTTAAAATGTAGCTTTGGCAAACTTGAGGATATAAATAGAGTTGCCATTCCATCCTCAACAAGAGCTTCCTTATTCTTTGTAGATTCTCCAAAAGGAGATATGTTGCTCATGTACCTCAAAGCTTTTTAAAGTAGTAGGAAGTTTTAGCTCGCCACTACTTTCCCACAAGCATAACAAAGCAAGCATTATCATTACAATTCAACCCCTTTCCCACAAGATATCTAACAAATATTGTGGATTCAAAGTAAGTTAAACCTTCTAAATTGAGTGTTGCTTAAAGATGTTGCAAGCATTGTGATGATTGTCCAACCCCACCATATATTTCCTTGTCAAAGCTTAAAAATCAAATAGTTAAAGGAGTCATTTTTTGCTAATGCCTCCTTATGTATAATATAATAAATTTAATAGTAGTAACTTAATTCAGAAATAAAAAATATGTTTCTAAAAAATTAACTTTACTTTTATAAAGTTTATTTTTGGTTTTCTTACTATAGGGGGACTGGGATGGCAGTGGATATAACCAGAATATGCTTGGATATTCTAGGATATTTTATCATCTATATTCATTTAGATTAATCTTGTATTTATAAATTATAAACAGGTTTATAATTTATAAACTTTATTAAACTATTTCTAGTATATTATTTTTATTCTATCATCTAATGGCTGATATGCAATAAGATTAATCTTGTGTTTATAAACTACAAACATGCTTATAATTATAAACTTTATTTGATCCATTGGATTAATAAATAATAATAAAACTACTATTAAGCAAACCAAGTGTTACTATATGCAACATGTAGCAATCTATTTTTCTGCTTCTTAAAATAAACATTTTCAAAAGTTTTTACTATTCCTAGCTATATACAACATCTATTTTGTCTTCAATAATAAAATAAAAATAAAGAAAATTAATATAATATAAGAACTTTAATAATTTCATTATAAATTAAGTAATATTGAAGAAGGAAAACATAAACTAATAGCTACACCTTTAGTTTTCAAAATGTTGTATATTATTTTTATAAATTTATATCTATTATTTTTTGTAGAAAAGTCTTCTCAACAAAAGGTAAGTTTATCTAAAACTTTATTAAAAATAAATAACTTATTTAGTGTTATTATATTTAGTGTTATTATAAAATCTCAATTAAAACTGGGTGTAAATTATTTGCTGGTACTGATGCAGATATAGATATTACAATTTATACATTATCTAAAATGAAATTGAATTATAATGATTTAGATAATACAAATCATAATGACTTTGAACGTTGCAATATTGATGAATTTATTGTGGAAGATGTATGTCTTTTAAAAAATGATAAAATTTGTAAAATAGTGCTAGTACAAGATGGAATGGGGGACTCTCCTGGATGGTTTGTTGAGTGGATTCGTATATCAAATTTATCAACTGAATTAGCTTATTTTGATGTAGGAAAATGGATTGAGGATTTAAATACTTACGAAATAGGTATATGTGACTATGAATAGTAATTATATATTTACAAATTATGTGTGTAGAATATAATAAATTATATATCATGACTTAGATTATTATGGTGTACTTATAGTCTAGTCTTCTCAATAGTTTTAAAGATGCTATTAATTGATAACTTAAATAAAAAACTTTATCAACTATACTTTCTTTATTTATAACCTCATTTTAATCTTAAATGAAGGTAATGGTCATAAAAAAAACTATATTATAGGACATATTTATTCAGTAAAATAAACAATAATTATTTTAGATATTAGTTTGGAGTGGATTTTAACAAAATAAGTTATCTTGAGTTATATGTGTAGAGTTTTACTAAATTTAGTTTTAAATTATCAATGATTTTATTTATCAAACCATTATCCTCATTAAAAAATTATTATTTTATATATTAAAAAATATATATTATGAGGTCCAAGTGTACAGCTATGATGCCATATACTAATATTAATAATCATACACTAATATTAGCATAATGGGATTTTAATAACCATCATATTAGTTTCAATCTAGACCATTCGCTCTTGTTGTAATGCACGTGCCTTTTATCTTATAGTAATTTACCATAGGATAACTATGAAGTGGAACTTAAACTTTCCATGTACAACATGTTATATGCCACATGCCACATGTCCAAGAATAGTGGAGTGAAACCCAAATTTCAAGGCATTGGGCCACTAAATAAAGGTATAGAGTCGAACTCCTAAATTTGCAACTAAGGAACAAAGGAACCAAAGGACAAAGTGACTTTTTGGCGTTTAGCCCAAAGA